TGTCTACTTGGGCCATGCCCAGCGCCCAGGGAAGGGCCCGGGGAGACCACATTGCCTCTCCGATCCTCCCCCGACCCCCCTGAACTGTCCCTTGGTCAGGTTTTCTCATCTTTGGCACCACGTGTGTGAAATTGGGCTTCCTTGCATTTATTCTGTCTCTCTCGCAGAAACTGTATTTATTTCTTTGCTCTTGTTTTCATCAACCTGTCAGGAAATAACTATGTACGTCTCCTTTTCTCCTTTCACTTCTTTAAGATTGGCCCCAGCCCCAAATAACCCACTCTCAGTATTAGAGTGTCTACTTGGGACACTATACTCCAAGCACAAATCCCCAGGAAGGATATTAGCAGAGCAGATGTCAAGGAAACCAGCTGCTCAGGCAGGAGACAGCTCTCCAATGGATAAGGACACCAGTCTGGGGGTGGGGGACACGAGAAAGGAAAGGAAAGGGGCCATTTTGTTCTAGCCAGCCCTGCCTACCCACCTTGCTCTCTCATCTCCATTAAGTTTTAGGAGCCCACCTTCTAACAAAACTTGACTGAGCAAACATGCTCATGGGTAGACTGGATGGGAACCCCACCCACCCCCTGCCAAAAAAAAATGATGCCTTAGCTACCAAAAATCTAAGTCACCTAATGACAGGCTGTTGTGGCTACTGAGTCAACCCCATGTCTTCTAACTGCCATGGGGATGGAGAGCGTTTATGTCCCCCAAAACATCTGGAGGTGCTGCAAGGCTGAAGGCACAGGCTGGTAGTTAATCTGCTCTGATGCAGTGCTAATAGAAATATATACGTAATTTTAAAGTTTCTAGCAGGCACATTAAAAAGATCCTTTCAGGTGACGTTAAACTTAATACTATAGCTTATTTAACCAATATATTCAAAATATTATCATTTTACCATGTAATTGATATAGAAATTATTAATGAGCTATTTTGCATCCTTTTTTTGTACTAAATCATAGAAATCCTGTGCATATATTATCCTTACAGCGCATCCTACTTTGGACTAGCCACCTTTCAACTGCTCAATAGCCACACTAGTGGCTACTGTATGAGATGGTGCAAATACAGAACATTTCCATCATT